GTTGACAGTTCAGCTTGATCCAGCAGCGTCATAGATCAGTTTCACTTGATCATGCAGTAGTTCACTTGATTACTTTTAATTTATTCTTGCCGTAGCATTCGTGCGAAATGAAATTGTTCACAACGTGAACACTAGTGCAATGTCATATCATCAGAAATAAAACAATCTAAAATCAAGCGAAAAAAGCCAGAATTTCCACAGAACGTTATTCGAAATATATGGCACTAAAGGATCATCACTTGTTTCATGCGAAATCAACACATCGGCTTTCTAAAAAATCACTCTCGTATTTCGTTTTTGCGATACAAATCCACTCAAAAATGTTAGCAGTTAGAATAAGTGCATTGAATAGTTTGAATTCAATCAAAATTTCTCAAATGAAACAAACAACAATTTCAGTACACGACACGTACGCAGATTTGGTACGTCAAAGTAGTGCAGTACCGTCAGCATCAACGCTTCAACGCATGACCGGCAGCAGTGTGTTGGTGTTGCCACTGAATCGATTCGATGATCAACCAGAAACGTTCAATGAAACACTTCACCTTAAAACTTATATTGATGCAATTAAAACGATCACCGCTTACTTGCTTGAGTTGTCAACTGTTTAAAAGAATATTGTTGTTTGTTATTTGTTTTAGTATTGCTCAAAATTTGTTTGTATAATTTATTTGTTCTTTTCATCATTTCCTTCAGATAGTAGATCTATTCATGATTAAACTCTTCCATAAAGGATACATTGAAAAAGTATCGAATGTGCAATGAAGTATTCGGGCGTTTGCTTGTGTTTATCAGATCGAATAAGTTAAAAATAAGTCACATTCAAAGGTACTGAAGTTGGTGTTTTACACCGAAACGTCTGCCAACATGCCAACTCGCCCTCATCTACCATATTTTATTTTATTCTACTCATTCTGTTCCCTAACCACTACCCCCACCACCCCCCCCCCCCCCCCCCCCCCCCCCCCNGCCTCTCCCTTCGATCCTCTTTTTCCTTCTCCTTTCTTTCCTTCTAACCTCCAGGACGGAAGGGGACACCCTCTGCGCCCCCTCCCGTCCCGGCTACACCACTGCCGTGCGGGTTATTATTATTATTCTTATTATATCAGGAAATAACACAATGAATACTTGCAGAGAACACTGATATTTGTTCACAAATGCTTCAAAATAACATAGTTGTAAGGTTGAAACTGTTTCGTATCAGATGATTTGTAACAGAATCATCTGATATCCACTTCTGTCTTTCGAGAGATATGCATTTCATCGTTTAATATGCTTAATGCTATTCGAAAAGGATATGCGACTTTATGACGCCTCGACGGAGTAAAATCTCAACATCTCACTATTCTAATATAACGACTGATCGAGAAGAACAAAAGCAGCGTTTACTGGGAGTCGATACGATGCGATTTAAAAAAGAAATAAATGTCGATTCAAAGCACTGAAATATCAGTCTGAGCCTCGATCAAGAAGGATATATGGAACGCAGCCCTGAAACATTACTTCACCTCTTGATGCTGCTCATCGGAACGGCAACTGACTACTCCAATGAGACGAACTGTTGATTTTGGTGACTGCTTTCATGCGATGATAATCACTATGTGAAAATGACAAAACACTCGTATAAACTGAACGGATATGATGCGTGATCACTCAGTCGATATATGATGCATGTTTCATTCGCATTGATAGATGATAACAAGGATGAGAATACGGTAAGATCGAAAGGTTACCGTAGTGAAAACGAAGAGTAACGGAAGTTGTGCGAGATGCAGAGGTGTGATATATGATAGTGATGTGATGTGATAGTAATGTCGCTCACAGTATTTTACAATGATAATAATTTTCTATAGACGTAATATCTGGTCTAGTCTCAGTTGGAATATTTCAAAACGGTGTCGCGTCTGTCGAAATACTCACTCATTTTCGCTTCAACTTCAACTAGAACAGCATGAACTACGAACTGCTCTAACACTTCGCTCCTATTCCCTTTGTTTATACCATCACCGCAACGACACCACTGTTAGTGCCACCACCCCAATACATCTAAACGTGAAACTCTTCCATCTTCTCGAACAAACCACCGAAACTTTCTTTCCTCTATCATCTACTTCACATTAATCAGCCATTGTCGTTCGTTGTCGTCGTCACGTCACACTCATCCTCTCTAATGCCCTCTTCATTTCGAATCTCGTTACAAAAAGGCTGCTGCTGCTGNTGGTAGGATGTTGTTCCACGTCTGAACATGAGTTGAATATATATCTACGAGCACTCGATGTCTATCTATGCATATAATATCATATCATCATCACAAATACAGACACTAAGTTTTTTATACGAAAATATCGTCTTTTTTCTTTTATTCTCCTTGCTCATTTCTTTATATATCTATGCATCACCTCGTTTATTTATATCCATAACCCCTTATAAATGCATATGGCCCCCTATATTCTAGAATATCATTTCGTGACGCACGCACATCCCACTCACACTCAGTTCTTCATTTCATCTGCTCGTCTTCTCAAGCATATTTCTTCATCGAACCAATCCAATCATGCCTCTTCTCTGAATTCTCCTCAAACTCACACTCTTCAGCTGTTATAATCCATCTGCAATATACTTTCTAATCATCTACTTGCGAATGTAATCAATTTTTTCTCATTCTTTCGCACCTCTGCATTGTGCCTTATCTATTTCACTCTCATATCTAAATCTCTCACNAGCACACACCTTAGTGTATCGGTTGATGCGTACGCGTACACAATGCCTTCGTGTTGGTAAACGCTAGCAGAGCACTCTGTTAGGTATATTTCGTTGTTGTTATCTTATTCCGAGTGGTTGTGTGTGCATCATCATCATATTTCTGCACTGACAGATGTACGCGTCTGTAAACGACGTACACCACACCAGTCGTCACGATTAGCAATTGCTGCTGCTATTCATATCATACTTTCTCATTCGATTCGAATGCACGCAGCCACTAACTGCATCCTTCACATACACATCCACCCTTCTTATATCACATCACTCGTCGTATATACGTCGAATATCATCGATAAATGTGAAACTAGTGCGTTTATTCGTTTCGTTTGCTTGATTATTCCTTTCATCCCTACCCTCTGTTCCTCTACTCATCCTTTATCTTCCATCCTTTATCTTTAATGTACATTTTCATTCTGTACTCCTCGATTAAATACCACTCGCAAATACAACAAATCTTTGTCTCATTTCAATTATGTTTCTTATTTCTTCACAGCCCCTACTTCTTATTCATATCACAGATCTGCAAATTCCATATAGATTCTTCATCATTTATTCCATTCAGCTTCGCCTATCAGTCCATCCATGCATCTGAATCAGTACTATTATTAAAACTTTTAACAAACAAACCATCCAACAATAACATCAATCTATAAACTACCCATATGTATAAACCGTGCTATAGCAAGCACCACAGCACATCCTATCATAATATATCCTTTTCCTTACCCTTAACGCAAAACCAACCATTCGAGCAACCCCACTACTTCGTTCATTCGTTCTCTTCTATATCCCAACATTATCCACTCATTTCCCCAACCATCACAAATACCTCCATCATTCGCATCTTTTCTGTCTTTTATTGAAATTTATTCCTTTTACTATCTTCGATCTTCACCTAGTTCTATCCGTCCTATCTTCTTATCTTGTTATCCTTGCTTTTCCTCACTTCCAACACATGCTTCATTCTGATTCTATCGGAAATGAAACGGATGAATATAGGTGATGATGATCATTTAAGTTCATATTTCAATCATCATACATCATATTTTTACAGTATCAGTTAAAGGTACGGATTACTGAATGATGACGACTTGCAGAAGTGCGCATCGCAGTAGAAACAGCAATCGAACTGCCGAATCATACCATGAAATAACGTTGTTTTCATTGGCATGCCCACTAAGCGCCATACTANCTGTTTGCTTGTAGGAATGGTGTTCACGTACGAACGGTATGCAAATGGAATGTATTATCATATGCTCGCGAACTTCTTGTCTAGCCCTGCTTACCTGAGACAAGTCGTCAAGATTAAGTCATGAGGCACCTCGGATTACCAAAAGTTGTTCGCCAGTCATTACCGTATGATAATACCGTGCATCTACCATCCATGCATCCAAAGTCATCGTCAGTTAACACTCACTACCCCCGACCATCATGCCACCAGTACTATATTATCGTTTAGTGTTATTGCTGCATGTTACCGTGTTTTCATTACAAACATACATATAAGCAGCAATCTCGTCGTGTTACTTTTCAATTCGACCAACAACCAAACAATATAATACTTACTCATCTCTAATTGTCTTTATGCGTGCTTTTGCAATTATCGCTCTCTATAACCACCCATCTTCTGAATATGTACAACGACCGCATTTTGAGAATAACATTTTTACCGTAATCGCCCCATCCGTCTTTCTTCATTCCTTTTCGGCATTTTTCTTGAATCTGTCGTCTATCACTTCTCATATACCGTAACCTCAAAACTCTACAGTAGTTTAACGGCAGTGTAACAAACAGAAAAGACGCGCCAGAATGATATTATGCGCAATTGATTTAGATTCGATTATTGCTCGTCGATGGTAACTGTCAATGTTTTTCGACGGATTTTTTGATGGAGAGGAATATGCGTATCTGGCAATGAATTGCAATATATATATA